GTTGGGCTGATAACATCTCTCCAACACCTATCCGTTACCGGCACGTCAAGGCACACGCAGGCGATCCGTTGAATGAGCTTGTTGATCATATTGCCAAGGCTGCTGCTGCTGGCCAGTGCTGCACTGGATGCCCTCCGAGGGAGGTTGTCGATGCCTTCGCGAAACTTGATCTGTCTTGGCTCGCTGTTGCCTGTGCCATGGATGCACAGTCCGCCATCCCATTAATGCACGGTCAGTTCCTCCAATGGAACCAGGACCAGCCCTTCGCAGAGAGCAGGCTTGAACCGTCCGACATTGTGCCACTCACCACCACTGTCATTGGCAATAGGAATGGCAATGCTGCCACGCTCGAGGTCAAATTCGCGACAATCAACATTCAGGGATTGCAGGACAAGATCCCGTATCTCGAAGAACAATTTGACCATCGCGATCTAAACCTGGTCTGCGTCCAGGAGGCAAAAACACCACCCGGTGTCTGCAGGTCACGCCGCTTTCTACGCCTTTCAACACCACCAGAAAGGCACTTTGGCACTTCTGTATGGATCAACCGACGTCTCGGCATCGCTACCAGCGAAGGAGGTCCGGTCATGATTACTGAGAACGACATCCATGTGCAAATCGAAACCCCCCGGATGCTCCTTCTAACAATCGAGACGGCAGGTTTCCACTTTGTGGTGTTCTCAGCTCACTGCCCCCACACAGGGCAGAGAGACGAAGCAGCGACCTTCATTGCCAACCTTGCCCAAGCAATCCGCCCCCACAAAAGGGCGACCATGGTTATAGGAGGTTGCGACCTTAATGGTAGACCCCCGCCCAATGTAACCGGGGTAACAGGGGACCTTGTGTGCGGCGAACCCGACCAGTCGGGGCGCGAAGCTGCCGAGGCCTTCCAAAAGTTGCAATTGTGGATGCCCAGCACATTTGGCAACCTGCATGTCGGATCTTCCTTCACGTATCGGCACCCGTCAGGAATAGAACACAGGATTGATTTTCCCATCGTCGGCGGTAGCACTGTTGTTGAAGAGGTCCGCACAGAGGTTTGTCACGACATTGACCTTGGAAGTGCCCGGGACGATCATTACCTCGTTCTCTGCCAAATACGCGGATCCATTGCACAGGCTGGTGCCTCCCGGCGACTTTGGCGGCCCCGATATGATGTCGATGCAATGATGACACCGGAAGGCCGCGCCATCATTGCGGATGAAATCAAGCAATTTGTCTCCCCGCAGTGGATTGTTCATCCTGATGAACACTGCCGACAGCTCACGGCAAAGCTTCAGCAGATCATGCATGCCCATTTCCAAAAACCGGCCAGCGCCCCGCGTGCATCCTTCATACCGACCCACATTTGGACCCAACGCGAGGCAAAAATCAGGCTTAAAAGCCGCACAAGGCACCGTGCCAAATTATGGCACGACATCCTTGTCCGTGCCTTCAAGCAGTGGCGGACACGAGTAGACTACTCTGTCGCACTCCTTGTTGCTAAAGAAGGCATCTTGTACCAGGTTGCAGCGGCTGCTATACGCTTTGCCACGTGGAGGATCAATAATGGGATCCGCCAAGCCAAAGCAGTTTGCCTGAAAAAGCTTGTTCTCCAAAGTGGCGACAAACCGGCCGATATACTTGCCACAGCAAAAAAGGCCGGCATTGGGGGGTCCAAGACCAAAAAGCCGTTCCGACCCATGCCACACTTGCTGAAGGCCGATGGGACTCCCGCGGCCAACCGCGACGACAGGGACGAGATATGGCTCGAGCACTTCGGACAGCAGGAGTGCGGAAAGGTGCTCCCGGTCGCACGCTTCCTTGAGCAGAAGCCACAGCCTGTACTCATTGATGCGGACCTCAACTGGCAGTGTGAGCATGTCCCGAGTATCAGTGCACTCGAGGACGTGCTACGGCACCTGCCTCGTCACAAAGCCGCGGGGCTCGATGCTGTGCCGGGGGAGCTGCTTAGAGCGGCCCCTGGCCCGATGTCTCAGGCACTCCACCCTTTGATGGTGAAGTCCATGCTGAGCTTGTGTCAACCCTTGCAATGGCGTGGAGGCATTTTGTTTGAAGCCTGGAAACACAGCGGCAAGCAGAGTGATGTTTCCTCGTATCGTTCATTGTACGTAGCGTCAGTCGTTGGTAAGGCATACCATAAACTTCAACGGCGCATGGTACAGAATGAGGTACAACAGTCTCTGCATGACTTCCACCTTGGCGCTAGGAAGCAAGCTCCTGTCGTTCTGCCAGCTCTGTATGTGATAGCCAGCCAGCGTGCAGGTGAAGCCCAACAGCTTTCCACTGCTGTGCTGTTTCTCGATACGCATGCAGCATACTACCGCCTCGTACGAGACCTCGCGCTCGGCAGCATTTATAACGACGACACTGTCGTACGTCTGTTTCGGCACTTTGGTCTTGATGTCGCAGAGCTACAAGAAATGATGGAGGTCGTGCGCGATGGCGGCACGTTTGCAGACAATGCAATCCCTGCATCGATTCGCCACGCAGCTAAAGACACGCACCACCACACATGGTTTGTTACTCCGCATACCAGTGGCACGCTCTTGTGCCGGACCGAAGCTGGCAGCCGACCGGGGGAGTCGTGGGCTGATACTGTCTACAGTTTCATATATTCACGCGTCCTTCTTCGGATAGCTGAATATGCCAGGGGCGAAGACTTACTCCCCGACTTCTGTCAGGAAGCTGCCTCTGGGATTTTTGCCAGTCGAGGCGACGGTGAGGCTGCGGGCTGTCAGGACGCTACCTGGGCAGACGACAGCGCATGGCCCTTGATTGCGAATACACCCGCTTCTCTCCTCGAGAAAGCCGGGCGACTTGCGTCAATTGTCTTGAGTCAGTGTCATGCCCACGGTATGAAGCCGAACCTCGGCCGCAACAAGACAGCCCTGATGTTCAGCCTCCGAGGCAAGGGGGCTGCAAAGGCGCAAAAAGAACATTTCAGAAGCGGCAAGGCTGCCCTCTGGCTTGCTGACCTAGGCATCGATTTGCCTGTCACTAATCAGTACAAACATCTTGGAGGGTTGATTGACAGTAGACTGTCACTCGCTGGCGAGGCCAGAAGACGCCTTGCGGTTGCAGGACAGGCATTCGACCAGGGAAAGGCATTGCTCTTCCTGAACGAAAGCATTCCACTAGCGACTCGAGCGTCCTTACTGCAAGTTGCGGTGACCTCCACCTACCACAACTTGCCAATCTGGGTACCTCATGGCAGAAGCTGGGAGATGCTTCAAGATGGATACACCCGCCTAGTCCGCAAGCTTCTCAGCAAGCGTTTGCCAGGTGAACACCTCTTCCACTTACCGGCCGCTCTTGCTCATGTTATCACCGGCTGTCACCCGCTCGAACTCCTTGCAAAGAAGGCGCGTTTCAGCATCCTGTGCTCCATGTGCATAGCGGGCCCTCCCGCGCTCTGGGCAGCGCTTCAGGAAGAGCAGTCGTGGTTCGCAGCGATTCGCGATGATCTTGAATGGTTATGCGGTCGAGTGTGCCAGGACTGGCCAATGAGATGCGCTGCAGCATGGCCGGAATGGCACCATCTGCTCCGGTCCCGCACTGCTTGGTTCAAAAAGCAAGTCCGCAAGGGCCTCCAGCAAGAATTTGCCGACTTTGAGCGATCACAAGCCTCACTTGCGGCGTTGTGGGCACTCAGCAAACATGCGCACGGCAACGTACCGGTTGCAAGCGCGGAAAGCGAACCACGCTGGTTCTGCTCTCCTTGCGCCAAGTGTTTCCGGTCTAAAGCCGCGCTTGGGGCGCACTTTTTCAAGACGCATGGACGCAGAGCACGCTACCGAGCAGTTGTCAAGGGGACCTTTTGTCATGCTTGCGGGCGACAGTATTGGAGTTCCAACCGCCTAGCCCGCCATTTACGTGATTCCCCTAGATGCGTCGCTACTTTGCGTGCCAACCGCCTCTTTTCTGATGATGTTGTCCCAGGCTTTGGCAGCGCTGCTTGGCGCCGCAACGCCACTGAGCACTTCAACCCGACTGCCCCTCTGCAGCAGGCCGAAGCAATGCTCCCACAGGCCAATGAAGATTGGGACCGCACCCAGTGCCAAGCTCACGCCGAGCTGTGCGATGTCCTGCTGTCCGATACCTTGCCCGCTAACTCCCAAGACATCGAGGACCTCATCCGCACTACACTCGCCAAGTTTCCCCTCTTTGAGGATGAGGCAAAGGATCTTGCCGAGTTCGTGCTCAGCGAATCCAAAGAGGTCCGCGATGACCTCCTTGCTGATTCTTGGAATGACGAGGTTGCGAGTGCTGTTGACGATGCCTTCCAGCGCATACTCCTGAATGTCTGGAAAAACCCAGAGGAGGCATCGTTCCTCGAGCGCTCTTTGCCCAAGTTCAGGGACCTTGAGGATTCTGTTCGGGATGTTTTGTGGGATGACATCTGGACTCACAGTGTTCCAGCGCACGGGACCCCATCTGGAGGCCACTACGAACTCCCCTCTGATTGGGAAGCTGAATTGTTGGAGGGAGTAAGGCATCTTGATGTTTCAGCCGTGCAACAGAACCTGTGGAGCATTGTGCCGAAGCCATTACAGTTAACATGGATCGATATCCTAAAGGGATGCCGTCCTAAACTGACTGCCGGCACAAGCTTCTGGCGGTCCCCTCTCGCCAGGCCATTCCGGCCTTTGGCGTCCGACCTTGCAACCTAATTAAGCTGCGAACTCCTCTGAAAGCGTGCAAAGCAAAATATAGGGACTACTTTGGGGCTTAAGTATCTACTATAAGGGTACATGGAGCCTTAGGGAACCTAAACTCGAACTGCTAGATGCCAAGACTTGTGTGCGGCGGAAGGACAAGGGCGCTTAACACACAACTGTTACAGTAGAAGCCCGAACGTTGGAAACCCCAGAGCCTCAATCCTTAAGAGTAATGTATAGGGAATCCCAGCACTATTTGGCCTTAATCCGGTTTCCAACTTTATGGGGCTTACTGTAACTATGATCGACCCCAGTAGCGAGAAACCGATGGCCAGCGAGGATCGACGGGCTCGTCGCCCTTCTCAGGCCAGCACCGGCGACTGGCAGAGGGGTGTAGTTTATGTAGGATTTAGGTTTTAGGGCTTATATTTGGAGATGAGGGGACACGGTTTGGGGTTTTGGGATAGGGTCAAGGGCCCTGAACGAAACATAGTTTTGGGGTCAAGGTCTAGGGTTTAAGGGCATGGCAGGGCTCTAGGAAGTAGTGCTTGCATTTCCGCTTGTAGGGCTTGAGGCTTTGTAGTCACGGCGACTGCGGGGTGCTTATCGGGGTTGTTCAAGTCTTAGGGTTTAGGATGTCTGTATTCTTGTCCACGGTCATTTCCTTGCAGCGTTTTACTGGCAAGCTATATGCGACTTTTCGTGGGACATAGGCCTTCTCCGAATTTTCGGCGGGTTTAGGAGTTTCCGGATATTCGGGGGTGCCTTATGTTGGGGTCCATATAATAAGGATCCTACTACTCAGGGTGCTACGGTTGATAATGTAAATCCTGCATGACCCATAATAAGGAATATACCATAAATCCCATAGTCTAGGGTCCTTAAGGTAATGCAGGATGTATATCATCAACAGTGTAATAGGGTCCCCGAAATTGCGGAAACTCGCGTGCAGGGTTTCGGCTCGGAGTTTCGGCTCGCTGTCGGGGCGCCTCCTCGGCACCCTGAGACTCCCCCTGAGCCCTACTTGGAGGCCCTGTTGACTTAGTAAGTCTACTTAGTATCCCCTAGAAACCCCATTATAATCCCCATAACCCACCTAACCCTACTTACTAAGTCAAAAGGGCCTCCAAGTAATGCGCATAAGCCCTGAAACACTGATGCTCCATGCCTTATCTTATAATTTCTACCCATAAGTAGCTCCTTTTTGTGATTACCTTAAAGGATTGGAGATACGAGCCCCAGAAAGGAACTACTTTGGGGCCTTTGGGTAGTTGCCGTAAGACGGAAACCATGATATGTAGTATATATAGGGCGCTTATCAGCTTCTAGGAGGCAGAGGAGGCCCTTATTCCCATTTTAGGGTTCAGGTTCCCGAATATAACCCCCTTTAAACCAAAAAGGGCAACACTTCTTATTTCTAGGTTACTCTTAGGTCTAGATCAAGCTGGTCCTACTGTTGGTGATATACATCCTGCATTTATGGAAATTATGGTATATTCCTCAATGCAGGATTTATATCATCAACCGTAGCTCGCAACTTCCATTTCAGGATCTTTGGCTTCGATTGCTGCGCAACCACTGAGTGTCCAAGCATATACTCGGGATCGACAGTGGTTGCCCCAAGGGTCCAAGTACCCAATGTTCATATACTCTCCAAAATCCTAACCTGCATAACTACTGCCCCAAAACCGAGTACCTAATTCTTGGGTCCTTTGGACCTTTGGGACCCTTGGGGTTGTATGGAAAGTCTTTTCAAGCCAAGGGTTCCAAACAAGTAGGTCTAGTTTCGAGCTCTGTAACGTTGGGGGCCTAAGCCCTGGACACGCAAAAACCCTTAGCAGTAAGGCCCCCACTCTCTGAACCCTGAACTGTCTGCGCCCCCACCGTTCTGTGCGGCTTGTGTTGCGAGTGCAGACATTTTCCTGACAGCCAGCCCGCGAGTTGCATGTTGTTATCGAGAAAGCCCAGTATCTCAGACTACTTGAAGGATCCGGAAAGTAGAACCCCTAATTTGGCTGGGACCCTTATCGGAACCTCCTTAACCGATCTACTTTGTAGACCCTCCTGGTGGTCTGGGTATCCCTCGTTACTGGTAGAGCAACTAAACCTTATAATTCCAAAGGTTGTCCTGTAGTTTCCCTGTGATGCTCGACTACTAGGGCTTTGCTACCTAGAAAGCCCAATATCCCTAAAAAAAGGAAAGTACCTCAACTCCGAGGGGCATCCAAAATGTGAGCGACGGTACATAAACACATCCGAATTCGAAGGGCTTATATAACATGAACGAATGTCGATAAGTACAGCCCTAAACGCAAACACCTAGGTAGTCCACTGATCCTCGCAACCTTTCAGGGACCATGACGGCCCCGTCATCGTTGCCGGCCACTTCGCGTTGCGCAGGCCTTAGCTTATGCTTTTGCATCCCTGTAACCCATGCCGTGCTTGTCTATTGAATGTCATGATATGATGTAAGATGTTTATGGGGTCTTTCGAACGAAGCGAAGCCCGCAAAGTCTTAAATAGTGTGATCCTTGTTCTGTAAAACGTAGCAAGTCGACAGTTGAGCGAACAAGCGCGCACAGCACATATGTAAAAATGTAGTATAGCGGTATGGACATAGTCTGGTTACTTGAGATTGCGAACCCTGCGGGCCCAAGTATGTCATAGTCCTAGTCTCACCCAAATACCCAGCTAATTACAGAATTCGTGGCCGAAACATTATTAAATCGGAGACCCGCAGACGCCGATAGAGCCCCATCAAAACTCAGAATCATGTCACCCCTACCTCGACCCTTAAACCTGAACCATTATTGAATCGTCAAGGGGATCTATCCTCAAGGGTCCAAGTGCCCAATAATCATATACTCTCCAAAATCCTCACCTACATAACTACTAAAACCGAGTGCCCCATTATTGAGTCCTTGGGACCATTACGCCGTAATACCGGAACGGTATTGGACTTTTAACCCTGAGGGCCCATATATACGACAATTATGGAATTAGATCCCATAAGGCCATCCCTACTATGGTTTTGGGAGCCTACTTCCATAATAGCAGTATATATGGGAGTTTCCGAAAATAGGGCACCCTAATATGGTACCCTAAATAGTAGGATCCCTATTATAAGGACCTCAAACTAAGGTACCCCTAATTTTCGGAAACTCCCATATATGGACCCCCTTGGTAAGAGACTCCCTGACCCAAGATCCCTTATAGTAACCCTTATAGACCCCTTTTAAAGGAACCCTAGGAACCCTCTAACTGAAATCCTAAACCCCTTGGGGTAAGATCCGAAAATAGGGCACCCTAATATAGTACCCTAAATAGTAGGATCCTTGTTATAAGGACCCCCAAAGAAGGTAACCCTAGGAACCCTATACACCTGAAATCCTAAACCCCTTGGGGTTAAGAGACTCCCTGACGCAAAGCCAGCAGAGGAGCGGCTCCCAGCCTTCGGAATCGGCATCCTGGCTGTCGGTTTCAGCTCTTTTGTGCTTCATCTGGGCTTCGGAGTTTAGGGTTTAGGAGTTTAGGTTCTTGGAGTTTAGGGTTTAGGAGTTTAGGGTTTAGGAGTTTAGGGTTTAGGAGTTTAGGGTCTTGGAGTTTAGGGTTTAGGAGTTTAGGGTTTAGGGCTGTAGTGTTGATTGAAAGGGCAATTCCCAAGGGCTCTTTTAAACAGGTTTGACTTGACAGGTTCTTGTCCGGGGTTCCTTCACAGTATTCCTTTAAGGTGCTTCTTTGAAGGTCTCCTCCTTGAATGGATTGCTTTGATTCGAAGGGTCCGTTTAAAGGGTTCAAAAGGTTCCTTTGAAGGTTCTACAAGGGCTTCTGTAGAGGGTTCCTTTGACCGATTCGTTCCTTTTCAGGGTTCCTTTGAAGGGTTTCTTTGAAGGGTTCCTTTATCCTTTGAAGGGTTCCTTAAAGGGGTTTCTTTGAAGGGTTGATTCAAAAGTTCTACAAGGAGGGTGCCTTTGACCAATATCACGATTTCAGCTTTGCGGGCGTTTTGCTACACGGGGAACTGTGGCATTTTGAATAGTGTAGAGTCTTGGCTTTCTCTAGGGGAACCCTTTTTTGTGGAAGCGCCGTGAGGTTCCGTTTCCGCGCTTAATGTTGAGCAGCTCTGAAGTGCGTCCACAAAGTCGGGGAGTGACGCGGCAACGGTGCTTGAGATCTTGCTGCTCCAGCCTATTCGCCACAATAGCCCGATTGATGACTTCGGGGAGGCTCAAGAGGGACATTCTTCCGAAGGGGCCCCCACCCTGCAACAGTGGTATAATAGGAATATAATAGGACCCTAATATAATCCTTATAGACACTACTACAGGGTGGGGGGCAGCTTCTAAGACATTCTGTGCTGACTGGATGCTGGACTGCAAGAGAGTCCATGATGCTCTGCTCCCGGGAGCAGTCGCCCGCCTGCGAGCACACCGGTTTAGGGTTTAGGGATTTAGGGTTTAGGGGTTGGGGTTTAGGGGTTTTAGGGTTTAGGGTTGAGGGTTTAGTGCTTGGAGAGACGGAGCTCCAACCGAAAGAACATTTTAAGGGGCGCTGGCCCCGTATAGTCAGCGCGGCCGCACAGGCGCGGGTAGAGTTTCAACACAAATGGACTGGTAAGCTCATCATGGCTCATCTTGATTGTCGGATTTGCCAGGTGGCTGCCAGCAGAATAATTCGCTGGGTTATAAGCTGGGAACAGCATGAGAGAGATCTCGGGCCGGCAGGCTTCAGCAGCGATCCATGGGAAGAGGTGGTATCATTGCCAAGCTCCGCCCGTTCTTTGTGTCCTACTGCAATTTCTGGGACTTGCCGTACTTTCCTTGGACACATGAGGAACGAGGGTTCCGTCTCTTGGAGCGGAATGATTTTCATTGAGAGACTTAGTTGGCCTTGCGCCCATATCTTGGAATTTCCATAGGTGTCCACTGCTAATGCGCATAAGGAACATGGGCTTGTCACCGTTTTGCCGGGCTTTAGATTGAGAGGGTTTCAGGTGGTTTGGGGTTGGTGCAAGGCTTTGGAGCTAAGGACCTATATAGTCTTTTGTGTTTTGAGTGCTTCAATTCAAGGATGTATGGTTCAGGGCTTCAGGTTTGAGACTGAATTTTAGGGAGGTTGGGTTTTAGGGTTGGCTAGGGTTCTTGGATTTGGGGTTCAGGGCTCTAGGGGTTTCAATGTTTCAGTTCTTGTTTGGATGGGCCAGGGATTCGGGTGAAATGGTTCCTACTTAACGGATCGTGAGACTTCGTAAGTAAGTAAGTAAGGGTATATGTACCTGATGGGGCTATATTTTAATGTACTGATAAGTTTAGTTACCTTACTTATAGCCCTATATACTTTCCAAGTCCCATGATCCTTTAAGTAAGCCTCCAAACCCTTAACCTCCAAACCCTAAACCCCGAAACCATCACCCCAAAGCCTAAACCCTAAACTCTTAAACCATCACCCCAAAGCCTAAACCCTGAACCACACCCCCAGGCTAAACCCCAAACCCCTAAACCATCACCCCAAAGACTAAAGCCTGTCTTGGACCGAGCCAAGGACCTGAGGCATCTGCTGACAGGTGCTGCCACCGCGGTTCTTGCTACCGGATTCCTGGGCTGACGGTTTCGGAATTGGGTTTCAAGCCACCTACCTAGTAGTCGAGTAGGCAACCTTTAACCTCTTTTGGGTAGTATAGTCCCTATATAATCCGTATATAACCAAAAAGGTTAACCTGTAGTTCCCCATGATACCCGACAAGTAGGCCTATAAAAGCAGAACTCCGAACTATTTACTGTTATCGTTGACCCAACAGCATAATTGTCAGGTATTTTGTGGACCCTTCAGACGCACGTAAACCCCGACAGAAGCTCCTAGAATGGTCACATAACAAGTCCTTATAGAAACCCTGTCTGTTGAGATTAAAGGGTTTAGGGATGAGACTCCTGTAGCAGAAGTCTGTTGGCCTCTTCGGGTAATCTAGGGGCCTAGATTACCAATCGTATTCCATAGGGTCCCGTACCAGACTATAAAGGAACCTTAAGCAAAAGCCAAGCTAGTCTAAACAATACAGGCCGAAGGCCCCTACACCATAGAACCCTTATAGATCCCTGCAAGAATCCCTTTAGTGGGTCTGGAAACCCTGTTCTCATTGTGTTGAGGCCCCTGCATGAGTCTGGTCTGAAGTCAGGCGCCGGCCTGAGCGATGCTTTCGGCACGGCCGAGGACGGCGGCTGCCTTAGAGCTCTCTCCAGGCTTACAATGAATAATAGCAATAATACTATCCAATACTACTCATACGGAAATGGGGTGGGGTGGGCTAGGGTAAGGTAGGGCAGGGGTATTGTAGGGAGGGTAGGGTAGGGCAGGGAAGGGGTACCTAAAATAGTAATATCGTACTGGAACTCACAATACTAGCAAATTCAGTAGGAGTCGAGGTGTGCGCATATTTCGGGCGGATCTCAAGGAGCTTCGGGTTAGAAGTAGAGATTCAGGGCTTCCAAGTTTGGCTGTAAACTCAAGCTTTTCAACTTTCCGGGCTCTTGCAAGGTAGTCGATTCTGAAAGTTTCAACCTTTATGTTCGTGGGTTTTGGGCCAGTGAGGTTAAGGTGTGGTAGGGGTTTAAAGGGCTTGCGGGCTGAAAGCCTTGCTGGGGTTCCAAGCTTTCCTTTCCTCTGTAAGACAAACAAACCCTCCCTAAGACTCTCCCTCTCTCTCTCGCACTGCTTCTCTTTCTCTCTCTCTGTGGACGCAGGGTTTTGGGTTCCCGGATTGGGTTTGTGCATCTAGGGCACAGGGAATTTACTACTTTGTAGGGTCAGGGTGTCGGCTTTGTAGGTGTTTTTCTCGAAGCCCAAGCTTCCAAGGCAATACCCAGCAAGACGAGTTTATGCTTGACCTGCTGCAGCGGGACTATGCCACTTGGGCTCATAGTGAACCTTCGGACTGTAAGGGGGAGGGGGGTAGTGGACTGTACCTCTTGATATAGGCCTTATTAAGGGTCCTTATGGATTTGGGGTTGAGAGTTTAGGGTTTTGGGTAGTGGGGTTTGGTTCTAGAGGGGCTTCCCAGAGCCTTCCAGAATTAACGGCTTGGGCGGCTTTGGGTAAGAATCCAAGGTTTCAGATGCCCAAAACCATTCAGAGCATGGCATGGTTTAGGGCAGCTTAGATTCAGGATTTTCCGTGGGCCTGTGAAGCGTGCTAGATGATCGCTTAAGTTTTTTTGAATGGGTTCCAGTCCATGCTGCTTTACCGTCCTAGATTAGCCTGGATTTGTCAGATTAGGTAAGGACAGGGATCCTATTACTTAGGGTTCTGTCGAGGGGTCTTTTTGATTTCTGGAACTCCCATCCCGTTGTTTTGTTTCCTTTGGTTGCCGAGAGTTTTCTTCATATGTGGTGCTTAAAATAGGCACAAACCTAATGATGATGCCTCACTTCAATATGGCTATGGCTCCCTGTATATATATATATATACATATATATATATATATACATATACATATACATATACATATACATATACATACATATATATATATATATATAATACATATACATGCATCTCTGTATGTGCATAGAACACTGTATCATTAATGCTTAGGTACGGTATGCACAGGCAGCTCCACAGGAAGCTAGCTACCTTTGTCCGAACACCCAAATCCTTAAGACCAAAGATAGTGACGTACTGTTTAGATCCCCAAAGCCGTAAACAGCTTTAAACCCCAAGCTAATAGAGGGGCCTTGGTAATTACCTATACTACTGTGGGGTTTCCTTTTTGTAACTACGGTATAATGGGCCCCAAAACCCTATTCTGATTATTAAGGTCCCTACATCACTGTAGGTAGCTGGGCTTCGACAGACATGTGAATAGTTGTCAAAATCATGGTACTTTTTTGGTGTGCCCCTAAATCTTAGGTGCCGTATTATATTAAGGACCCAAAGAGGACCATAATTTTGACAACTTAACCCTAAACCCTAAGCCCGAAACCCTAAGCCCTAAACCCTGAAACCGCCTATGCGGCTTCATTGAGGTTTTCTACCGGGGCCTGGACCTCGCCCGGCGCCCCAGAGTTTTAGGGCTTTCAGGGTTTAGGGGAGCATTCAGGGACGATTCCCTGGAGGATGTTTTAGGGTTTAGGGTTTAAGGGCTTCCCTGTGGCAGAAAAAAGCCCTAATTACCGGTTTAAAGAATTACAATTGTTGAAACCAGATTTTTTCGGCTGCAGGTATAGGGATTGGTGACAGCCTTTAATCCGCAAACCCTAGAACCTAAACCCTTATACCCCAAGCCTGAAGTGCGGTTCAAGGTTTGGGGGAAGCCTGAAGCCCTAAAGCTTAAGACTAGGCTGCTACGGCTTGGGCTTTTGGGGGTCATAAGTCCTTGAATCATGTCTGACAAGATCTCCAAGACCCGGCCATCACAAATCCCCCCGTGTCCCACATCCTAAAGCCTAAGTCGTAGTGGCCGAAAGAGCCTCTTATTTGGGGTTCAGAACTATGTAAATGTAGCTCTTTAAAGATCCTCAAGGGTCCAAAGGACCCTATAATCAGGTACTCGGTTTCAGGATAGTAGTTATGTAGGTTAGGATTTTGGAGAGTATATGATTATTAGGTACTTCGGTTGATGATAGAAATCCTGCATGACCCATAATATGGAATATACCATAGTTCCCATAGTTTAGTATCATTAAGGTGATGCAGGATTTATATCACCAACCGTTGGACCCTTGGGGGATAGGTGTTTCGGCCGCAGGTAGTTCATAGCTGTAGCCTGATGCGCTCACAACCCGTATGGCTCCTACAGCCTAAATCTCAGTTTCTAAATCCTAGCTCCTCCATCTTAAATCCCAGCTTCTCAATCCTGTAAGAAAATGCTAGTCATAGTTACTTCGCCAAGTCTGAGCCCCTTCCCTTCCTCTCTGACCAGGCTCGAGCCCTTCAGACCCAAAGACTTCACTGACTTCACCTTAAGATCTGAGCCCTAAACCCTTCACCCAAACTCTGAACACCCAAACCTACGTTCCGATAGCTGACGAATTAGATTTTAGGGGTTTAGGGTTTAGTGTCGCGCCAGGTGGACGCGCGCGTCCATCCGCCCTCCACCTGCATGGAGCACCTGCCACTGACTGTCGCTCGGATAAACACCAAGCCCCTAAACCCTAGACCCTAAACCCCGGCCGTTTGGGACCGCCCCCAGAGACCCTAAACCCTAAACCCTACCTATAGTCTCCATTGTAATTCCTTTTTGGGGTTACTTTTTAGGATCCTGGGTATGAGTTGGTTAAGCCAAAAAAGGAAACTACAATGGAGACTATAGGTAGACCCTAAACCCTAAACCCTTACCCTGACCCCTAAACTGATCCCTTGAAAGGAATCCTTAAAGCTAGGCTTCCTGACTAATGTAGGAACCTGATCAAGAAACCCGGCGCCTAGAACCCCCAAATATTAGGGCTCATATAAAGAACCCTAATAAAGGCCCAAGGTTCCTAAATCAGGTTCCTACTTTATGGTTATACTGTAAAATCCCAAGCCCTATGCTAATCATTGAGGCCCCTACATTAAGCGCGACCGGCATGTTTTCAGATGAAGTGAACCCCACAGCGACACACTCGCTCCTCGTCCTCCCCAGGAAACAATAGAACAACGACGCATGAGACTGCAACAGATAGAATCCTAGAACACCCCCACTGTTTGAGATTGCAACAGATAGAATCCTAGAACACCCCCACGTCGCAAATCCCGACTCTGCAAGTCATTCCGAGGTTTCTTTCCAGCTGAAGAGCAGCTGAGCTGTGCTCCGTAGGGTTTAGTTTAGGATTGAAGCTTTGGGGTTAAGGGAAAGTTTAGGGTTTAGTACGGTCCATAATAAGGAATATACCATAAATCCCATAGTCTAGGGTCCTCAAGGAAATGCGGGATTTATGTCATCTACAGTAGTTTACATTTTTTGCTTTCGGTTTGTGTCATTTAGAGTTCATGCTCGAGGATTTCTTCATGTGCAGGGGTTCTAGTGGTCTTAGGACGCAGGCTTCACGATCTGAGGGACCTGGCTGAAGGAATTTGAAGCCCTAAAGAGTCGAACATAGCACCAAAAAGCACGGCTTAGGGTTTACCTTATCCTACCAAAACCTACTTTTTTTTGTAGGATTCGTATAAACTGCATATTAGGGATTATCATAAGAACCTACAAAATAGTAGGGTTCAGGGGTTTAGGGTAGGGTTCTATAGGGTGCAGGGTGGGTCATGCTTTTAGGCTGTTAGGGTTTAGTACTAAATAAGGACTGTATGGATCGGTTGAAGCACATGCTTCAAGGGGTGCATATTGCAGTGTTTGTCTTTGCTTCTTGGGGCGACTGCCTCTCAAACGATGAACGTACAATTCCGTTGAAAGCGACATGCTGTGGATTTCCTTTCTGTTGAAGCGTGTTTTGGGCTCTGCAATATTGCGCGAAGACATTTCTGAAATCAGTTTTGTATTTGGTTCCCTCAAGGCACTAAACCCCAAAGCCCAAAACAAACAGAGACAGCAAAGAATTCGGTGTTTCCTCTCGCACGACCACAGAGAAACCATGCTGCGCCTTTGCCTTTGTACTTCTTGGATACATCGTAGGCTGAACAGTTGTTTTTGAGTTTTGTTACGTCTGTTTCTGAACTTTAGAGCTGTAAACCCTTATGAGTCCTTATCAGGAATGCTTGTCCAAGGCGGCGTGCTGATACCGAGATCTCTCTAGGGAGCTGCACGTTCTGATGGCTGTAGTGTTGAGCCTGCTGAATTACCTAGAGTGGTGCCGCATTTTCCGGAGTCATAGTCTAATACACTCCACCACTGTATTCTAATCATCGGGCTCTCATTCTTGGTTTGGGGGTTGTGTTCCGTGCCCTGGTATCCAACAAGCAGCATGTGGACCTCGGTAACTTGAAGATCAACGGAATAACATTTCTTCATAAGTGTAACACTTCATAATTCCAGTATATAGCACACCTCAAAACACTGTTCTAAGTTTGGATCCTCGTCGACGTCTTCACAAGAGAGAGCCACACCCACGACGTCCTGTTCAGGGTTTGAGGCTCGGGAGTTTAGGCCTGGCCACCGAGTAGAGTGAAATGATCACACTTGCGAATCAATGCTCCGCTTGGCATCTTCCAGCGCTTAATTGCAGGTGGTACTCTGATAGACAGAAGTCGGCGTTACACAGGTGCCAGAAGCTGTGGGACTGGTACGGAATTTTGATGATACATAGGGTTTTGCATGAATCAACAGCATGCAGGGTGGGTCTGTGGCTTTGCGCATGCATACGGTTTAACCCATCGTCCGGCTTTCGGGTAATGCAAGGTTCCAGGGCTTCAAGGGCTTGTTCCACGGGGTTCCTGAAAACATGGACTCGCACGCAACAGTGAGGATCGTAATGCCTTATGAAGCCCTAAGCCATGTAGGCCCTGCAGGGAGCAGTCCTCAAGCATGTATTGCCACCGGCTGCAGGACAGGATCCTGCACTATTCCAACAAGTCCACCACACACATGGGTAGTTCTAGGTCGATCAGATAGTGCACCCTAAACCCTTAAACCTAGAAGCCTAGACTCCGAAATCCTAAATATGTGCAGAGGAAGGACTGAACTGCCGGTGTTCCCGCCGGATGGAGAACCCTCCTGGCTCCAGGACTTGTGGAGGGTTTTAGGGTTTAGATAGGGGCCTAGGGTTTACGGTTTAGGGTTTATGTGAAGGTTTAGTTTTCCCTATTTCATAGGTGCTCTGCAGAGGACCCTAAACCCTAAGCCCCCAAACCCAAGCCCCCGGCCCATGCCAGAGGTCCACGGCTGACGCAACAAGTGCATTTCAAGCTCAAAGCCCCTAACCCGAACCCTAGAGCCCTAAGCTCCAAACCGCGTATGTATGCATAGATAGCCATCTAGCTAATAGGTAGATATCTATATACATATTCTATGTATATACACGCACACACGCATAGAAATGTTTGCACGCAACCCGCACCCCAACCCCTCCGAATGTTTAGATCTCTGCATCACCTGAGCAAATCTCGCCTGCCTGCGCTCCATCGTTTCAGCATTTTAGCTTTTACGGTCTAGGGTTTAGGGTTTGTTGGGTTTAGGGTTTCAGCTTTTACGGTTTAGGATTTAGGGGTGATGGCCGAGTCGCCGAGCTGCCCTGCAGCGGATCCAGACTCCTCCTCGGAGAAGCCAGTCCCTCAGTCAGTGTGTGTGTGTGTGTGTGCGTGTGTGTGTGTGTGCGCATGTGTGTGTGTGTGTGTGTGCGCATGTGTGTGTGTGCGTGTGTGTGTGTGTGCGCATGTGTGTGTGTGTGTGCGCATGTGTGTGTGTGTGTGTGTCGGGAACTGCCCCGGCCCTGTAACAGTCTATATGAGGGGTTCATATTAAGGGCTATATATATATATATACACTCACAGTATAATTACATATCCGGTTGGGGCCAGTACACAAAGCGTTGGTTTGACGGGGGTTTGATACAAAGAGAAATCAGAATGTTTGAAGTTTCACAAGTTTATTGGCAGGGGAGGCTCTTTCGCACTATGAGTGTCCACCACAGAGGGGGGCCCAGTCCGAAAGTGGGAGGCAGAAAACGTACCCGCGCAAAATTGCAACATGGCATCCACCTTCGCCGCCAACCCCCAAATTCTAAAACACTGAGTAGCTCAGCAGGTCACCTTTAACCTTTTCGGTTTTAAACAAGCCTACCATACTTGAAAAGGTAAACCCCTTTGTGGGGCTAGGGTGCGCAGCCCCTACGAATACATGTTCATGTATCGGATTGGAGGGTGTAGGGGCTTTATGGGGTTTAGGGTTGAGGCAGGTTGCTCGGTGCTCGGCGTATGTAAGCATAAGGGCTGATGGGCACGAGTCTGAGGTTTTCAGGGTGTAAGGTTTAGTTAGTATGTGTAGTACCTAATGTTACGAAACCTCCGGTTATACCCTAAACCCTAAACCCTATAAACCCTAAACCCTATAAACCCTAAACCCTAAACCCTAAACCCTATAAACCCTAAACCCTAAACCCAACTGGACTATTGAATTTCGGACCGGCCCCTAGCCAAGGAGTTTCGGGTTGTAGGCTTTTGCGGGTTCAGGGTTGGGTAGCACGGTAGTGCCTTGGAAGCCTAAACCCTATGAAGGTGGTGCTTTAGGACTTAGGGTTAGAGTCAGTGTCGTGCTGATGCATCCAACTCTGCAGATACTGTCTAGCTTTCTGGGACAAGGACTTAATAAGGCCTCTTTAAGTATAGTCCCCTCCCCCCCTCCCGCCTACCCCTTTAAGGGTCCCTGTATGAGTGCTAGCAACTCCGGGATCTTCGTGACGCTGTCGGCCGGGGAGAAGTGAGTGTATGTCAGTTGAGAGCCCACGCCGGCGGAGAAAACTCAACTCAACTTTGAAAATGAATCCGCCCAAAGGGCCCCAAGTAATAATTACCTGAGCAGTGGAAAGAGAATGCACTTGGTCTTCAGGAGAACCCCTCCTCGCTCCTTCCGCCCCTTCCCCCCGAAAACAATAGCTCCATTTACGAGGACTTTTAGTTTAAGATTGCGATTGCACAGGTGCTCCTGGACGCTAAGCCGTGAGCCCTAAGCCATAAGCTCCTAAGAATCCCCAAGCCCAACGGCCCTAAGCCGGAAACCGACACCATGCGACGCCCAAACCCGAATCGAGCATATGGGGCTGAGTTTAGACGCCTTTGTTTCAGAAGGCTGCACTTGAGCTGCAGGCGATGGGTATTTTGATATGAGGACCCCTTAAAGGAACTGCTAAGTTCTGAGACCCACCGCAGTATTCAACACAACAAGAGACCTCAACAAGCAGTCGTAGCACCATCCCCCTATCATCCCTACATAAGTACAATATATCAACACATATGTATACACTTCCCCCATCCACACCCTGTTTGATAAACCCATCAAGAAGGGTTTGTACTGTCACAGGCCGTCGACATTGACCTCCGGCTGCTTGGATCCGCTAGGAACGGAGTGCGGCGAGCGGTTGAGGTTTCGAAACCCTTCATGAACACCCCGCGACGGAACACACACTACCTGCCTTTAAGCCGTTTGCAAAGCCTAAATCTCAATCCAGGCCACACGTGGTTGCAGAAATTCGGCTTTGCACTGTCCTTGGTGTCGCCCTTGGCCTCAGGAAGTGCTCTTTGGCCATGAAGTGGTCTGGAACTTTGGGATTTCTGTGAGCTGTACTGGGTTGGCAGAGAAACCTCGTCATCAACAAAAAGTCGACTATCATTGCGTGGCTGTCTGGAGTGGTTCCGGCCGTTGAACGTATTGAACTGCTAGGCATGTGCAGATTTTCCTCGGCTGCACAGTTGTTTGCATGCTTCTTCATATCTGGGTGGCCATTCAAATTCAAAGACATACATCTGGAATCATCGGCGGCTTCTGGGTGTGCGAAGAGAAAGGACCTGTTTAGGCTATGGGGTTCAGGTTCAGGGGCAAGCAGTGATCTTATGCAGGTCATAGGATCGTAGAGATACATGGTACGTAACTGTGCCAGTGAATGTCACATAGGAGCCCTAAATACTCAACGGGTCCATGTTCGGGTTGCTTACCATGGCTATTGTTATAGTCCAGTATAACACACCACCACAACGCCGTTCGATTTCATTTAGTCCCCTATATTACGGAGTTCCGTATGCGTGGGTGTGTAGCGTCAGCGAGGGAGAAATTGAAATTCGAGTCTCCAGTCTCCTCTGCTTGCAGGTTCATGGGTAGTTATAGGTGGGGTTACAAGTCTCTTAACAAGGGCTGTAAGTATAG